TTAAGCCCTGCCTCCCGTTCCACGTCTTCTTGCAAACACAAAATTTTTGGATATGGAAAAGCGTGAAGTCATTCTTCTGTAACTGCAGGTCAGTAAACAGAGCAAATTAGTGCAGAGTTGGTACTTTTCATATTAACTCAGTGGCTTTTTTATTACTTAGATTTCTAAATATCTTTAAAAACTTGCCTTAAGCTTGCTTTAAAAATCGACTCCTGCATTTCTTTTTAAGGTTAATAGGGGAATAAAGATCCTCTGAAATTATTTCTCTTTCTTTAATATAACTACTTCTTTAAAAGTATCTTTTGGAACATTCCCAGATGACAGCCTCCAGCAGACCCCTCCTGCGTGTGGCACGTTCATAGCCACGTTGTGTCATTGAAGCCTCAGGTTGGGGTGGCCCACGGATGAAATGTAGCCCGTGTGAACACTGCTGCTCCTCCTGCTCTGCTCGAATGAACCCGATGCGTTACGTACTGTTGTCATCAGAGGAAGATTTTTTGCATTAATGTTAGAGTAACTGCAATTGCTCATTTGGAGCAAATTAGAAGCAAATGAGAAGCCTAACATTCCTACTGTATTTATGCAAATTTGATGCTGGTACTGGTTACCATGACAGAGCGCTTCTATCTGTCTTGCAAGAATGTATGACAGAGTGATAGAACAGAATAATAATATTCTTGTATGAATGGTTAATACACAATGGGAGGACAAAAGCAGCATCTAAAAGTCTGTGTGTGCATGTATAGCTGTGTTTTTCAAAGGTTTCTAATTAGAAATTTCTAAATTTCTGGTTGAAAAATAATGTTGCATACCTTCTATCATTTGCAGGTCTTTACAGATTGCTCTTTCTAGAAGTAAAAAAAAAAAATCTTTCACCTTATTTGACTAACCTACCTTTGGGTATAATGTCAGACTTTGAACTTAAGTTTATTTTTTTACAAATGTAGCCAAGTCTCTGGTTACATGCTTGGTTTTCCCATTTGGAATTCTTTCTGGGGTTCATCGCTCCACAGATTTTCCCAGGGAACAGGAAAGGACTTCCTTTGAGTAAGAGAGAAAATAGAATCTCACAGCAAAGATAAATAAAAATATCAATAAATCCATCATATTATCAGTAGAAACATCAACTTATTTTGGTTTCATCAATGCTTAATATGAAGAAGACCTCTCCCATAGGATAACTGGTGTTGTAGTTTATGGGATGCTGCTTTATTCTATGCTTTGAGAGTAAAGTAATGACCCTCCATTGACTTTGTGTCAGGATAGTACTGGGAAATTTCTGGTTCTTTTCTTGATAGCCTGGTGCTCACAGACAATTCAGCTGGAACTAGACTGTTGTCCTGTGTCAAATACTTCCAAACTGTAAAAATACTCAGCTTTAAATTATACCATCCCTCCAGTATATCTCAAGAATTTCACAATTCTACTTTCCTATAAAATTGCTTTTCTCTTCTCTGTTGTAGTGTGTAAAAATCTATGTAACCAGCAAAAGAAATTGCCTGATACAGAACTTCTGAAAACTTAGAGAGTCTAATTATTCCTTTACCACCCTGTAACTTTTCCAAGACAGGAGACAGCTGGAAATACTCATGGCACAAAGAAAACATGGGACTAAAAATCCAACAAGCAAACAGAAGAGCTCCCCACGTGTGAGGAGCACCACAAACCCAACCCTTTCTCGCTTCCTTGAGGTGGCCAAGTGCAATTTTGCATAAACTGCTGAGGAATTATGAGCTGGGCCTGTAAGCCTCTCAATAATATTTAGAACTTCTCCAGACAACATGGTGACATTATTTTCTAAATATTTTGTTACTTTTTGAAGATCGGATTTATATTTATACTCTTGGGCAACATGTTATGGAAAAATTCTGATCTCGAGTCTCTAGGATTATAGATCACTCCAGATGATACTCTGCTTTCATAAACAAGACCTTTGCTTATATAAGAAAATAAAAGAACTTGCTATAGCTGATATCCACAGTGAACTTTGTGATTTGGAAGGGTACTTCTTAAAATAACGATCTAGATCTTCAGCTGTTTTAAATCAGAATGGGCTTTCCTGACATAAAAGTAGCTAGAGCAGTTTTTATTAGTTGGTGTCTTATCAGAATCCATCAAAAGGTTACAAGATAAATACAGTTCTTACCTGGAGCCCAGTTTAAATACCTGAAAGGGCTGCCCCCAGCCCATTGCCATCCACTGTTGAAATTCAAAGTGTTCAATCCAATCCAGAATGCAAAAGTGAATTTTTTAGTTAGCTCTAAATTAGAAAAAGAAGTCAGTTGTATCTCCCTATCTTCATTCTTAGCAAGTTAATCTAAAACATATAACACCAAAAGTAAGAAATATAAATACCAGCCCAAAAGCAGTACTTTCAGCATCATGGAGGTGCACAGATTAAAAAAGTAAAATAGTAACTGAACAAATATCAATTTAGCAAAAATCTCAGTATATAAAAGGGCAAATGAACATCTTATTTCACTCCTTAAATAAGAGTTTGCTTCTCTCACTTTGTTTCATTACAACATAAGATATATAAAAAATATCCTATTTTCACTAGACAGTTGTGCTAAAATGTTCCTGTAGCAGATTTCTTGGTGTAAACACATCAAAAAGTTTACAAAGACAGTGTGCCAGTCAGTTGTTTCCAGATTTTTTTTCTACGTCTGTGAGTGGTTTCAAAGCCTCCTTCACACCATTTATAACCCAACTGATACCATTATACCTGTATCTGAAATCCACTGGAATTATTTAGAGTTTATGTCTGTATATGTACCCATATTGGGACCGATCTAATCATCATCATATGTTCTAGGAAAAGATTAATAATCCTTGAAACACAGAGGAAAAAGGTAAATTTGGGGTCCAGATCATAGTGCTGCTCAGGAATGAGTGCACCAGCATGAAGGCAAGCGGAGGAAACCCTCCTCCTGGGACAGGCTGCAAAAGATACGGTAGCTCCCACCTGGAGCACAAAGGGAGGGTGGGGCCATTTCCCTCCTTTTAGGGGTTTGGGACTAATCCTTCATAAAAAACAACAGCTAGTGGAAAGGCAGTTCAGACCATGTCCCTTTTGGCGGCTGCAAAGCAGCTGTTGAACCACCCCTGACACCATGTCTTCTTCAGTGAGACAGAAGACAAGGCAGTCAACTTCATTCTCTAAAGCTCTGGGGCAGCATGTTTTAAGGTCTTGTCCTCTACCATTTTACCTCCCATATATTCTTGCTCATGAATCTCTGTGATGCTTAATAGTTCTGCATTTTGCTGCTGACAGCTTTTCCTTGCTTGGTGCCATGTTAGAGCCGATTCTGAATTTATCTGATAGTGAAAGCCAGTTGAAACATCTTCTGTCCAAAATCTTTCTGTGTCATCTGGAAGAAGTGACATAGACTGCTGCTGTTAGAAGATTGACATTGCACCAACTAAAAGCAAATAAAGTATGTAATGATGCAAAATCTCTAAAAATGTGCGGTATTAACTGCATGCTATCATCAATTTTAAAGCACCAGAAAATGTAGTACTAGGTAAACCCGACATGTCTGTTGATTGAAAAAAGAGGTTTCGGGGTGAAGTCAGAGGAGGAAAGCAAGCATGTAGGTGAACTGTGACCCTGGAGGCTATTCCTGCTTGGGGGGCAGGAACTCCCTCTTAGCTCATAATCAAGAGAAGTAGCTTTTTCAAAAGTGGCAGAACCTGGTCTTTGACAGCCTGAGGAGCTATAAAAACAGATGGTGTAGCACCAATGTGCAGATCAGCTGCAATCTTTGAAGAGCAACTCACAAAACCTTATGAAACTTGTGTTATTGGGAAGACAGCTGGTGAGGAAAGGAAAACTGTTTGTGTCCTGAGGTGGCAGAATCCAAACATAGGTTCAGTGCAGAAGATAGTACAAAGATGGGGGAGGAGGATAATTTTAGAAGCAACATTTTTGTGTAGCCTGGCAATAGGAGATGACAACAAGATAGGAAATGGATGTTAAGGGAGAAAAACAGTATCTAGTAATTTAAGTAACAATTGACCTACAAGGGATGTCTGAGGAATAAAGAGCAATGGGAATTTTTGGAAAGGAAGATACCGGTTTAAATTCATGCTGGCCATGCCATGCCATTACATTCCATAAATTAGATGTGGAGGAGCCTCCTCACCTCTCTGGTCCACAAAGAGAAACAGCCACCTCCAGCAGGTCAGTCAGAACCTGGCTGGGCTGAACCATGCTCTGGAGGCACCTCTGCCTCTCCACTTGCTATAGAGGCAGCACCTGGCTACTGGGGCTAATTCTCAATCAGATGATTTTCATCTGGGCCGCTCCGACAAGATTTGTCATGCAGGTGTGCAGCTGGTAGCTGATAACAAGCCTGGTAGCTCAGTACATGGTTTTCTCAACAATGTTTCAGGACAAGTTAATAAATAAAGCGCAGCACTTACTTACTAGTGGGCAAAATCCATACAGTTTATCAGCATCAAAGTCTGCAGTTGTTGCACACCAGAGCCAGCCATCTGATCTGCCAGCACCTGTGCACTCGTTGTACTGTTTGCCTTCATATTTGAAAGGGAATACACATGGCTGTCCGCTGGCATTTCCTTGTAATGTAAAGGTATCTAGGGGGAAGAAAGTGGTAAGAGAACGTAAGAAAATAATCATAAAATCATAAACCTGACTTCCTAGTAATGGATCTATCAATGTACCTATCTAAATTGAGAGGTCACACCATCTTTTTTAATTCATTTTAATCATTTTTCCTCCTTGTGTAGCTAGAGGTTTTAAATAAAATGTTGTAATAGCAAAGTTTGGGGTTTCAATGCTGTGTTTAGAGTTTGCTATATATGTACCTTGTAGGAAAGCCAAATTCTGTGATGCTGTTGCTGATAAGTTGTGGTTCCTGAAGACAGAAAAGCACAAGCAGATCTCATACGAAAATGAGTTCATTGCATTGTTGTATTCGCAATAGGTTCACTTTGTCTTTCCATCTTTTCATTAATTGTTAAAAGAAAAAGGATGGCTGACCACAGAGAATACAGATCAAGTTGTGACAAGCGTCCTTATGCAGTAAATCTTTTAGGTTTCAGATGCACACTTCTGCACTTGGAGAGGTCTTGTAGATTCGTCCTCTACTCAGACTCTTTAAGGTTAGCAATGCTTCTTTTTAAACTGTCACAATATTACAGGAGCATTCTTTAATCCTGAAATTTCTGATATATGCTCTCAATTTCATATTCATGCAACCACATTCATCTTCTCAGTTCTACATATGTTATTGCTTTACCACTTCTCTCTATAGCTATACCAAATAAGTGATATACATCTTCAGACTGGAACTATTCTTTTAATTTGGTCATAGTGGAGGGGAGGAGTCAGTTCTTCCTTCTTGTACCTCATGTCTTGGAGCAGAAAGAGAAAGTTGCACAGTTATCATGAAAACATGGCTCTCAAACCCTGTGACAGATCACTGCACCATGGGTGTGCGGGGAGGGTAAATAGAAAGGGGTCCATTCTTTCTCATCTCTCATTGCCATCTGATTTACTATTTCCAGAGATGGAATTTCAGTTAAAAATCCTTCTTTTATTACCTCCTTTTCCCACAACATCCCTACATCTCCTCTCTTCTATTCTGTGAATCTAGAGCTGCCAGCATAATACCCAACATACTCTTTAGATCATATATCAAATCTGATAAAAATACAAAATAATCAGTCTATGCATTAATCCTGTAAAGCTGCCCAAGGCAAAGCATTTTCATATCTAGTTTAACACAAAACCAACAAAAAACTTACCCCGTGACTGTAATGAATCATGCATGAAGGAAAGAAAAACTAGGAACCTGAAGCAACTCATTGCAAATGTAACTTTCTTTTCATTCCTCTACAAGAAGCTGGACTATAAGATCTGCAGCGTATAAAATCCTTCTGAGTGAGGAGAGTGGCAGGTCCTTCTCTGTGTCAAAGTGTTGATGGATAAAGCACTGTACTCTAAATAAGGAAATATCCTGTCACATGGTATTTTGAAATAACTAGAGTGCGCGTTGCAAAGAGTGTTCTCTTTGAAGAACGAGTTGCTTCCAAAACTGAAGTCTAGGGATGACATTTGTCTTTTCCCGGCACTTTGTTGGTATTCTATATATGGGCCAGTTGTTGGGGTGCTATGCAGGGCAAACCTCTGAAAAAGCAACTTGAGCGTTGATGACAAGAAACCTGCAGTGAAGTAGCATCAATTAAAAACTCAATCTCTGCTTTAACACTTACATCTCTGAAACAAAAGAAGACAAAACCCCAGTGGTTCAGTACATTGCTATAATGTCACAGCTCTACATATCTAGAAGAGAGAGAGCAAATTTTACAGGATCTGCAGTATTTGGTGCATTAAACATTATTGCTCACTTTGAGGGCTGAAATTGCTTTTTTTTTGTGCAGTTACACTGCTTGCTTTGATCACATTTTGAGACTGGGCTGTTTATAACTACTGGTTGAAGAGCTGAAAGAAGTGAAGATGTTCAATGCCATAGGCTAGTGATAAGCTTCCCTGTAACAGGAGGGAAATTTTGCCTGGAATAGATTTGTCAAGCAAAATCATGTGTTCATCTATCTGAGAAATTCCTAAAAAGGGTGTTCCAGGACAAAGCCAAAAGTAAGCTAAATTGTAAAAGCTCCTCTTAATCTGTGACCAGAGTGCTCATCTGAAGACTTACATTAGCACGGCAATACTTGTACAACTATGCTGCAAAGCTGTGCTGGCAAATATTCACATGCAGACAAGTCCTGCTGTTCCTTCTGTTTATTTACATCAGTGAATTTAAAAGAAATTGTGATACTGAAATTGAATACAGTGAGAAGTGAAAGAATCAGTACTGAGATATATATAGAAGCTGAACAGAAGATGTTGTATGATGAACAACTATCTTTGCTTTTATTTATAAGGTGTTAGGAAAAAATACTGCAAGAACTGACTAAACTTGTTGACTTGACTGTTAGGAAATACTAAAAGAGAAAAAGATTTTCTGGAAAAAATGGCTGGATTTCAGTAAAAGTAGGAATTGAGTAATATCTATTCTATTTGCAGGTCACATTCAGGGAGAGCTTAGTGTGAGCAAGACTTGCAAGAGCAACCCAAAATCATAAAGCTGAGTGGTGCCACAGACAGTGATGGGGTGAGAGAGAAATAGAAACTGAGTTTACTGAGTGAAACCGTATCTCAGATATATCCAAAATCACAGAGGGGATCGCCCGGGAAAATACCTGGAGGTCACAATTCCTGCCCATTTCCCTCCCCTGCCTCACCAGTCCCAACTGGGCTTTAGCAGGAGGGCGATGGGGGGAGATTAGTGCAGACTCTGAGGTAGGCTGAAAGAGAACTGGGCACGTCAGAACCGCCTTTCGTATGACTGACCGGTGTGATGCCGGTTACAAACATTCTGGAGTCAGCGTCCTGCATTTCACTTGTGCAATAGCCTGTTGTCAACCAAATTCTTGGTTGTATTTATTTCCACCAAGAAAACAGGAGCCCAGTGAAGAAACTTAATTCCTTTTTATTATTATTTCTATTAACTTCTCAGCTTGCTCAGTAGACCCTGTGCAGCCCGGGGAAGGCAGGTTGCTTACCGGGGCTATCTGCTAAGTACAATTCCCCACAAAGTGGCTCATGTCTAAATTGTATTTGCAGCCCACGTAAATTCTCTTTTGTACTGCTTTCCACTGTTTTTCTAACATCTTGAACTTAGTCTTCTTGCAGATTCCTAGTACAGTATCATCTGCTGCATTCCTTAGTTTTCAGTTCCTTTTTCTTGCATTTATTTATGGCAAGTTGGTGCTTGTTCAAGCTGAATTCAAAGTGGTGGGGAGAGAAGCGCTCTATGTTATTGACAGAAGAGTTGGTGCACAGACAGGAGCAGCTCTCTTCCCCTTTTCTCTCACTTGATTCACAGTCTGAAGCTGATAATTATGCTAATAAAAACTTTATTTAGTTCAAAGCATTTACAAAAAGGAGGAAGAATGGAAGGGTAAGAATATTTTACTTCATGTTAGTGAACATACTACAGTTAACAATCAAATTATCAGATTAAAAAAAGTCCAAAACCTATGCCTCAGCTTCCATATCCTTTGCTAGTATGAACTGTATTTTCCATAGCAGAAAATGAAAATGGCAATGTTTTCTATCCCAAAATTATCTCAGATAAGTGTAAGAAGCACTATTTTATAAGTAAGCATAACAGGATATACCTATGAGGAACAATAGAAGTGCTGGTCTCATGGAGTGAAGTTTGTGGGGCAAAACAAGTTCAAGATTGGAAAAATTGGGCAGATTTTATTTTTTGAGTTCTTTGTGGTGTCCACAAAGACATCGGAATACAGTTCTGAATAGTAATCACACTTTACTGAACATTCATTGTCACTAGTTCACTTCTATAATTCTTTTTCAGTATGTTTATTTGTTCATGACAAGTTATTTACACTAATCTTTTGCTAAGCTACTTGAGAACATCTTCACAGAACCATAGAATAGTTTG